GTCATTAATGCGTGACCGTCGGGCGTCAGACGAGGGTTGTCCTTCCGGTGGGCATCGCGCGTTTGGTTTCAGTATCGAGAGATTTCCCTGCTAAATTTAGCAGAGAAAATTACGTATTTTGATGTCATACGAAGAAGAGGTTTAGGGGTGACGTAACCCGGAAGTTGTGGCGTCATTTTTCCGGTTAAACTTAGGGTAGGGGAGGGGGGGGAGGGCACATGGCGTGAATTTCCCCGCTAAATTTATCGGGAAATATTTCCCCTCTAAACTTAGTGTAAATATTTCCGCGCTATAGCGGGAAAACTTCCCCGCTAACTTGGGGGGAAAATTGCCCCGCTAAATTTAGTGGAAAAACTTCCCCGCTAAATTTAGCAAAAACATTTCTGCGCTAAAATTAGGGAAATATTTTCCGCTTAATTTAGCGGAAAGCTTTCCCCGCTAACTTTAGCGGGAAACGTTCCATAATGTAATGCGTGGTTACGCCGAAGCCGACGGCGACGCCGACGCCGCTCAACCCGGTCACGGGCGTCTAAGAGCCGCTCTCTAAAAAGCAACCTGAACATAAACTACTCAAAAAAGGTAAAGTTTTTGACGGGAATGGCAGCGGGAGAAAAAAGCAAATATTATCAGGCAAGAAAAAAAAAGTTACACGTAGACCGGCTAATGAAGACGTGATAGGCGATTTGGCGTGCTCATTCACCTACTTCTACGGAGCGGGCGTCTCTCCACAACCAAGAAAATACAACCATGGACGAAAAAATTCCGTAAAATACAGAGGAGAAAAAAAAAATGGGAGGAAAACGTGGCAAGCAAAACGTTCCTAAAACGCGACACCGAATCCTTCAGAATCCACGGCTAAATTAATGTTTCGTAGTACCCTCATGTAATACCCATTATTTGGGGCATTTGAGGTTTAATAAATAAAATAAATAAAATAAAAAAATAAAAATAAAACAGCACGTCTAGCTTCTTGTAGTCCACGCAGGTTGCAAAGAAATGTAACCGTTGTACCCCTAGTAGCGTTCTAGTTTAACATGTTTCTAATCACGTTGTGGCCTTTGTCGCAGCAAACTTATATCGAAAATGTAATGAACGCTGTTGTACACCCAGTGTTTTCTTATTATTCTATCATTGCTGATAATAGCCTATATTGTTCAAAACGCTTTAGGCTCTGAAGTCCTATTTGCCTGTTTCACTGTGGTACAACCTTGTGACTCTATGCATTTATGTCGAAGCCTGATGGATAGTCACTGCTGAACAAAAACATTCAAAATAACATGTGTCACTGGCAAGACTGGAATATTTTTTTCAGTCGCAAAACGATACCTCTTAGCTACAATAAATAAATCGCGTCTTTCTGGAACGCAAAGTAATAAAATAATGTTCAAAGTGCCGGCCCTCAGCTGCAATGCAAACCATTAAATGAATTTTCATTGAACACACAGCTCGCTGTATTATTTCAGGACTCATGCTCGCACAAGCATCGACGATTATTTACTTCACGTCCATAATGTTCTGAGGCTCGGTCCTGCTCGTACGATCCACCGATCTGGAAACTTGTGGTCAAGTTAACTTGTAGCGCCAAAGAAAAATGCGGTGGCGCTCCATCGTGCTGAAACCACATCAGTCGCAGATTTTGCAGTATCATGTCGCAGGCAAAGGCAACGCCGAATTAAAAAAGGACACCCACTGTGTACTTCCTGCCGGTGAGATTTCCTTCCAGTAAGTAAGGTCCAATAATCTTGTTTTCGAGGTTGCCGCAGCAGGCGTTGACAGACCAGTGAACCAGATGGTTGGGCTCTCTTAAGTTATGAGGATTTTAGCCTGACCAGCAATGCGCATTGTAAAAGTTCGCAGTTCCGTCGCCGTAAACTTTTGCTTCATCGGTTTAAATTATTTTGTTGAAAACGTCCTTGTCCTCATTCGCTTTCATTAGAACCCAGTTGCAGAAGTCAAGCCGTTTTTCAAAGTCCGTTTCAGCGAGGTCCTGTTGCACACATATTATATGGGTGCACGTTACGTTTCCATGGCACATTCAACACTAAAGTGACGCTATAGCCGCACTGACGTGGAATCTTTCGGTTGCTGGCGTGTGGGACGACTTTCACGTTGTTAAGGACGTCAGTTTCTTAAATTTCAAGTACGACAAAGGCCTTTCGACGTCTTCTGTGATGTACAGAACCTGTCTTCCGAAACTTTATGAAGTCGCTCGCAAACCGGGCATGTCCGGGAACCCGACGATCCAGGTAACCAACAGCGTACAGCTTTGTATCCAGTCGGTCATTGCCGTTCATCTCAGAGTACGGCAGAACAATGCAGGGGAGGATTTAGAGGGGGGGAGGGCGGGGGGGGGGGGGGGGGCGACCGCCCCCCTTCCTAAGCTTTTCAAGGTGAACTTGTTAAAAATAAAATTATTGATATATACACCAGCCAAACGTTTAGTTTTTGGTGACATAGCAAGTATTGGGACAACAAAACAGATCTGGGCAACGTTCTGGTCGTAATGTCATATCTCAGCACACTCCGACCCCCCCCCCCCCCCCCCCCACACACACACACACCATCCGAACGCCTAACGCCCCTCCCAGGCCTGACCCATAAATCCACCCCTGGCACCATGTTCCCTTTTTCTGTGGCTGAATACCTCAAGCCTACCGAAGACCCAGTGCAGAACCGTTTTGTGATACACTGAAGACAGGACAGTTGATCTTGCAATAGCGCCCATGCGTTGAAGACCTCAAAGCAAAAAATAGCTCAAAGCCAAGGAGCCGCCCTTTTCTTGAGCAGCACAATTTACAACTCTGACATAGATGATCATGAAAGGTCCAAATAACATCCAATAATTCCGCGCGAATAAACTAGAAATATATACGAACAATACTGATGCGTGCGTAGCGTCCCTTTCGCGGGCCAATGAATATGTAACTAAGGTTATTGCTCGACGTGTTCAAAAAGATTTTTTCAGTGATGTTGCAGAGAAAAGCAAAGCAAGTTGTCGCGGTTCATAAGATGGCGTATCGCTATAGTTCGCCAGCCACGGAGCACCGAGTGCAATCAGCTCCGGCGCGCTGGAATGTACATTAGTGATGCAAATTTTTTCATTGCCACATGACCCTCCGGCGTTGCACACGCGGGTTCTCCTTTCGGCTGGCACTGCGTATATGGTTTCGGTATCGACAGACTTTGAGAACAAAATTTTACAATGAACATCTTTAACTGTCTGCTCGATCCAAGATTTTGAAAAACTGGGCTGGCTTTGAACATTGATTGAGTCCATTTCTTCAGTATAAACGTGTGCCCTAAAACGTCTAGTTAAAAGTAATTATTGAATATTCCTTAATTAGTTGCATTCTTTCTTAAACTTAATGTCCGTCTGACGGTGTAACTCACTTGCACAGATCGCAATTGTGTTTGGCTTACGGCTTCTTTTAAAAGAGAAACCTGAACTTGATAAAGAATTACACCCTGTATAAACGTTTCACTTAGCTTGAATCAATCCCCGGATAAAATTTCCGAAGGAACGGATTCGGCCGAAGACGTACATTTCTTACATGGATGTCCCAGACACGTGCAATGTCAGTTCATCTGCTCAGAGATATCGAGTGTTCATTTTGTAATTTAAAAATCAAGACGACGCTTTGAATGGGATTTGCCATCACTTTCTCATTTTTTGTTTTAGAAAGGTGAACCACCTCTGTTTTCTTACTTTAATATAAAAACTTAAACAAGTTAGATATTCACTGTAATCCTCAGACACTTCGCAAGTTCATTATAGAAGTGCGTGGTGGTGGTCATGTTTCTTACACATTTTCCAGCAATAGCAGCGATGAACATGAACGCTGCTGCTTCAGAAGAAAAACCCATTTCAAGGAATGTTGGTGTAGATAGTTGCTGGCATGTCGCTGTGCTAGCTGCTCTCACTACGTTCATCACCACTGCTACCTTAAGGAGTGGGGGGATCATATTTGTTGGCCTGGTGAAGCAATTTGATGCCAACCGAGAACATGCTTCTTGGCCCATAAGTGTGCAAATTACCGTCCTGCAGATAGCAGGTAAGTACTTTATCTGGATGTACATTGGCCTTGTTCAAACATTCGTACCGTATCATTAAATGGAAGTGGTAGTCGGCCCTATACATGACCACACGAAGTGGGGATTTCCTCGTAGAATGTTTTCTCTAGCGACATTGCTGGATCGGTAAATAGAGGGATTATTTTTATTTCTCTCGATATTCACACACCAGGAACATCCAACTCGCTGAATACCCAACGAAACACCAATCGCTGTGGTTCAGACACGTTCCCGCGGATGATGTTCAAGATCAGGCGGAAATACAAAATTAATTTTATATTGTAAAAAAAAAATTGTTCTAGACAAACACACACGCACAAGCAGTTTCTTCGGTGAACAGATTGGCGACGATATTAGCCATAATGATGAAAATAATCCCTGGAGAAGGGGAACAAGAGGGACAATGGACAAACACAAATCTCCAAACACAGCTAGGTGTTCCCCTTTTCCAGGGATTATTTTCATCATTATTGTCCAGCTCGCTTGCACCTTTGCATTTAATTGCATTATGATATTAGCCACTATGCACAAATTGAAATTTGGCTCTGGATGACAAATCCGCAAGATGACGTGCTTGAGTCTACAAAACTAGCTCCTAGAACTAGCTCCCATTAATATGGTGGCAGAATCTTAGGATGCTGGAATTATTATTCTCATTCATATTAGTTTAAAAAACCTAAACTTCCTTCCTTGAAACTCTGGTACCTTCTTGAATGGCGGCAGAGGGTCATGTTTGAACGATGGTCGCAAGACCACGGGGAGCGTAGTGCAACCAAAGAGAAACACAAAAGAGTTCAAACTACCTCATTTAGCGTTTATTCACAGGTTTTCCAACCTCTTCACTTTGGTGCACCTAAATATTTTGTCCTACCCGAACATGCCAGTGCTACGATACAGTCGATGGTAACCAGGTGAATGCTGACACAACCATGTTCTTTACAGCCACCGTTGTTGTGCTACTACAACAACACATTTCTATGGCGCGAATTGCCATTCTTGGCAGCGTGCTTCTCTGGCTTGGACTTGTGGCTTCAGCGTTCGTACCCAGCATTGCGTGGATGTGCTTTACGTTCGGTTTCATCCACGGTAAATATTGTTTCGTCACTTTATTCAAGCCGTGACTGGAATGTAACGCACCGGATGACTTTTTAACCGAAACAAATACTTGCCACTGGGGAGGCTGTTAACCGTTACGGTCACATGGCTCCTTAAATAATACGTATTATTCTACTTTCAAAAACTTCTTTTAAAATTTATTTTGGTGTTTTATGTTTAAATTAGTCATTTCAAGGACTTCACTGGTACACATCTTTATTTAATAACTGTGCTTCTTTAGGTATTACTTCAAAAATTAAACTAATGATTGTTTAGGAGTCATTAGACCTTAACGAGTTTGATTGCATTCAGTATTCGATAGAGGTGCTAAGTCCAGATTGATTACGGTAGTTGCTAACGATGGCCACTTTTTAAGCAAATTTGGGCTAAATAAGAAGAAGACACAGTTTCCCTAATTTGCGATGTCACGCGTTATTTAACTCATATTTAAGCCAAGTTGCAGCTTGCAATAGGAAACATTTCTTTCTTGCAGCACCCAGTTGGGACCGAATTATATTTCCTTTAGAAGGCACGCGAAGGCATTTTTTTTTCGAAAGAGGTACGAAGCATAGTATTAGCAAAAATGCTACGCGTTTTTTTTTTTTTGTAACAGTATATTTAGATGGTCGTGGAGTTTGTTAAGGTATAATTTTATTTGTTTAACGAAGGAGTGTTTTCATCACTTGTTTTCTTTTGGTCTGCAGGTGGTGGAAAAGGAACGACATTGGTCGCGATAAATACCATCTTGCTTCCATATTTCGACAAGTACAGGGGAGTTGCGAGCGGGATGCGGTACGCAGGAGAAACGTGCAGTGGACTATTCTTTCCAAAGATCCTCGTGTTTCTGGAAACTGCATACGGTTTTAAAGGAATGCTTCTGATTCTGGGAGCAATACTAATGCACGCGACAGCGCTCGTTCTCCTGCTCGAAGAACCCCGCTGGCTCAAGTATCCGCAACCAAATTCCAGTCGGTCCGATGACCAAAAGGAAACTGTACCAGTCGCCTCCCAAGAAACTGGCCCAAACGATCACTCATTATCACACATCATGACTGTTTTCTGCAACCCTATGTTTTATATAATTGTTCTCCTAGGCATGACTATTCATTACACACACAGTGTCTTTTTGTCAACGATAGTCGACTTTGCTATGGACAGAGGCATGTCTCTTGATGCCGCCTCCTCTCTGGTTGTCTACTCTTCCGTTGCTGATTTTGTGGGTGCTTTGGGACTTCCTTTAATTGCCGATAGAAAGGCCCTACGACGCAGTACACTGGTCATGTGGTGTTGCGCCTCGTTCGGAACGTGCATGATATTTCTCCCGATTGTCACGTCCGTTCTTCTTCTTGTATTGTTGTCCCTTCTTGTAGAAATGTTTGCAGCAACCCTCATCACCATGAAGGCTGTAATGATGGCGGACTATCTTGGCGTGGAAAAGATACCAATCACTTTTGCGGCAATTGGGCTCGTGTCGATTCCGCTTTTTCTCTGCCACCCCTTGATTGTGGGTAAGTGGTGACGGCTCAGGCATTGGTACATAAGAGCTGTATAAAAGCGCTAAGGTGCTACAGATCTCTACGTGAAACGCGAATATGAGTACGAATTAAGTACTATTTTAGGTTTTCGGTATTTAAACATAGGATAAATATTTATATACTACCATCGAGCCGTCCACGGATGGGACAAGCAGGTTCAAATACACACCAGTCATCCAAAACCTGACAAATACATATATTTTATTGTCCTGGTTTGTGACAGACATCATATTATATCTAATTGACATTTTTTTTTTCTTCAGGATTTTTCCGAGATGAGATGGGATCTTACAACAATCTCTACAGGATGGTTGGAGGAATGGACTTTTTCATGGCCTTTCTTTTTTTCGGTGTGTTCCTCTGGGAGCACAGGAATACAAAAGGCTGGAAAACGCTCAATTAACCGGATTGTAGCACTTTTCGTAATATTTTAGACACTGCAATAAAACAAGATGTCTGTTCTCGTCTTCAGTTTTTTTAAATTGCATGCAAACAAAAAGTGAAAATTTTGTAGTGTAGTCGTTCTCGGTACTATTAGGATCCCTTATCGGTTCTATGGATACAGCACTCGGAACGTGTATAGGTATTTATCAGAAATACTTCGCCAAGACTATGTGTTCCTCTAAAAAATGACTTCATACCTTTTGCTCATAATAAAAACAGCAACAATAACAACAAAAACACCTTGAATTTCCCTAATGCAGGGAGGCATTATGAAAATTTAAATTTTTTTAGAAGCATATATGTCTTATTGAGATACTGTGCATGTAAATTTTTTAGCCAAACCATCATTTAACCTTAGATATTTGCAATAGGCACGCGTTCTTCTGAAAAAACAAATGGACGCAGAGTAAAGTTCTGGCGTGTATCGTATCAATTTGTTATTGAACTCGGATCTTTTCGTCATATTTCCTTCCCCGTAATGCAGCCGGATAACCAATAAGTCTTAGGTGCAGAGAGGGCGCAATGAATATTCACTCAAATGAAGGGGTGACTTCCAAAAGTGTGTTTTGCTCTTTGATAGTCACTGCTCTAAACGTCTGCCACGGTGTCCCTGCGCAGATGTTGTTTTTTATACGCCGGGCCCAAAGTTGCCTGGTCGTTGACCTTTCCTTTGAGTTGTAGTGAATTTATTTTGGATATCTAGATATAAATATTTCAGCGAATTTCCATTATACAACGCTGGCTTCCATGCGGCTCTTGCTTCCGTAAATGTGGATTATTTAATGGGATTGATGAATCTTCGACATAAGTCCACATTACGTGGCAGAGTGAATTCTCGTTTTTACTTTAGTGCTTTTTATGCATGAGAGGTTGGCATGGAAGTAGGAAGTTCTGTGAAATAAAGTGTTACTTAACAGTCGTTACTCACATTGGGAATGTCTTCCTGTTTCCGGGTTTCGCCTCGTCGCCAATATAAAGTATGTTCACAATGTACAGCTTTAATGTTGATTATGACGAGTGCGTTTAACGTAGAGACAGATGGTACAGCAGGATTAAACAAAAATACAAAGATAATTCGCATGCAACAAAGTCCATTCAAACCATATAACAAAAAAGGTGAGAACGGGATACGTGTTGACGGGGGGGGGGGGGGGGGGGAGTGAGAGAGAGAGAGAGAAAGAGAGAGAGTGAAAAACTGGGAACTATGGAGGACTGCGTTCGAAAATTTAATAGGGTAATTTTATATTTCGGGTATCTCCATGTTAACAGTCGTGTTTGTAGCGTTCCTATATTTAGTTTCCTCGACGGTATGTTCGGTATTTTATTTCTAATAAAGCCAAGATATAATGCATTAGTTCTGTATTAGCGAGTAGTGTGTTTTCCTCTTGTAAAAACTTATACACCAACTCAACTCTCCTACTTCACGCCGCGGTGGTGGCGCGCCGGACGCACTTCCGGTCTAGGGCGGTGGGCAGAAGTCGCCGTGCGAGACATGCATTCCTGTGTTCCTTTGGAAGAAACGAGACAAAAAACCTGCCTTTTTGTAAAAATACTGCGACGGGGGCTGTACCAAGAGAGTCTGGAAAGGTTTTAAGATCAGTTTTCATGTGTTTTTGCCTCCTCCGTTCGTCCGAGAACGTGGATAGTGGCCGTGAAAAGGGCAAACCAGACGCTGTCGAACTATGGTTGCGTGTGCGGGAACACTTTGTGGTCGGCAGATGTATTTGCTTTGTTCCAACATGAACGAGAGAAAACCGCCAAGTTGTCCGAACCACCCGCGGGTTCAGCGCGTCTTCAAATTCACACGGCCGCCTGATCGTTCGAACTCTCGTCTGCTCTTTCAAACTTGTCTGCTTTTTGTCGTCTGCTCGTTCAAACAAAAGCGGCCCGTAGAACAAACTTTGACCCGGTGATTGCAATAAGAAGTAATTGCAGCCTCAAAAGACTTAAGTAGGCTCGGTGTAAACTGTAGATACAAGATGTTGATCATTGGTACCGGTGGCCATTACCGACTTGTTACGCTTGGTCTGTTCCCGCTTCCGATTTTCAGTATCGACGTCGATCGTCGCCCTACCTTCTACACTTTTGCAGCACGAGCGACGTCGCTACCTAAAATAGCTAGAAGAATCTCATCATGGTTTTGGCGTCCATTCTGCGGCGTTCATGCGAATGAATCGCCGCACGTCAAATTATTTACGGACTGTTTAGCGGCGTAACGAGCCTTGATAATTTCGCTCAGGCGATTAAAGTGGCAAGACATTGCGATGAGGACGTAGAATCGATAATTCCAACGCGAAATAGAGTATGCAGACTCACACAGACGCCGACAACGTGACATTCGAATGGTTTGTTGACGCGGGACGCGGTGCTTCTTGCCCGTACTCCATTACGCATGCGTTCGAACTGTCGTCTGCTCTTTCGAACTTGGCTGCTTTTTGTCTTCAGCTCATTCAAACGACAGCGGCCCGTAAACCAAACGTTGACCCGGTAATTGCGATACGAACTAAGTGCAGGCCTCAAAACACTTTTGAAGTTTAGTTGGGGTAAGTGCTAAGTGTAAACAGATACAAGAAGATGTTGATCATTATTGTTACGAGTGGCCATCACCGATTTGTGATGCCCGATTCTACTTGCGGTTTTCAGTATCGACGTCCACCATCTCAGATACGGTCCACGCTTTTGCAGTCCGAGCAACGTCGCGTCTGAAAACAGCGAGCAGAATCTCATCGTGGGAGTCAGGCTTTAGCGCCCATTCTGCGGCGTCCACGTGAAATGAATCGCCGCACGTCAGATTATTCACGCAAAGTTTTGCCTCGTTAGTTTTGCTGAAGCCGCTCAAGTAGTCAGACATTGTTAGGAGGACGTAGAATCAACAATTCCAACGCAAAAAAGAGCACGGGGACTCCCAACGACGCCGACAACAACGCAATTCAATGGTTTGTTTATGGGCGACGGCGGGCTTCTTGCCCACCATCCACCGCGCATGCGCGGCGCCGGTGGCGTCCGCTAGGGGCGCTCCGGTTTGTTTGTAAACATGAGTTGGTGTATATACATTTCTTGGAGCTTGAAATAACTTGCTTTTTGTTTTCTGTAGAAATAAGAGTGACTTTCTTGTAGGCGGAGCCAGCAGACTACGAAGTTAGTGATCCGCGTGTTGAGTTTACCGCGTTATGGCGCCACAGGTTACAGCCATCGCTAACTTGGTCGTTTGTGAATAGGTCCGCCTTGAACCCTGGCAAGCTTATTAGTGGCATTCGTTTGCAGGGAGTAAGTAACGCATGATATCTACCTGGGGAATTGCACCACCTAAGTGCACATTTGATGAAAGCACATTTGTGGTCAGCCTACACAGTGACTTTAAGAAAAGACTATGTTTCTGTATCACTAAGGTTATGGAGATCCCAGCAAGTGTGTTCGCCAACTATATATTGTTATACTTTTGTAATTATTTGCCAGTTTTTTCACTCAACGTATAAAAGTATTTTTGAGCGACGAATAATTTGATGAAATTTCTCCCATTATATGACGCGCGGCCCTAGTTCCCACTAAAGAAGAATTAACTGTAATTTGGAGCACCAGTGGGGTAAAGCACCGTAACTAACAAATAGTGAGCATTCTGATAATCCCGCGACCGGAGAGATTAAGACGTGGACGAAACAAACGTACACGAACTTGTCCATGTTGCCTTGCTTTGTCAGTGATCCCCCTCTCCGTAATGCTCAATGCTCATTATAGCTAGCCTGCATCCCCATCATCACGTAAACCTGCCATGCTAGCAAAACGCAGCTACGAGAATGTAGCTCCACTACTTGCCGACGGGTAAATGCAATCTACACTGATTGTATTTTCCTCTGTGTGTGTCTGTCTTTTCAATATTTCATACAAGCACTTTCCCCGCGGTAATTCTCAAGCCCCGAGGGTAAAATAAATAAACAAACAAATAGATACGGAAGGCCGAACATCCATGGAAAGCCATTTGTACTTACCTGCGATTCGGCAACGCCTATAATATAAATGAAAACAAAATAAATATATCTCAGTTTATAAGTGCGAAATCTCAATCCATCATGCGCGACGTACTCTCGCTAAGTTGTGCGGCAAATAAATTGGCATGCGGGTAAAAAAAAGTATTGTAATAATAAACATGCCCAACGACCTTTTTCCAGCATGGTTAGGAGCATAAGAACTCGGATATTTTGTCGCCAAGAGATATCATTCAGTTATTCCAAATGTCCGACAGCCAGTCGGAGGACAATACTTATACTATTTTTTCGTTCTCTCGAGATCTGCATATCATCTAGCAATTTATACGCAAGGTTATTCAATGCAGAAAGGGCCGGGTATATTGAACAAGACCAGTTATTACTTGCGCAGTTACACGCACAATCGTAAAGATATGGTGGTTTTACGCCGCAAAAAAATGTATTTTCTTTGCGTTAAGTTTTAGCATTTTTGCGCCTGGGGAGTACGAGCTTCATGTTCTTGAACATTGATGTCTTAATTCCAAGTTTGGATACATGTGAATTATTTTTTATGGCGAGACACTAGAGGCATAGGTACCCGTGCGCTTGTGCTTGTTGAACGGCGTAGTCAAGAAAACAAAATAGGTTCAGTTCTGTCTTCTAACAATCACAACAAGATCTAGAGTACAGCATTATCACAAGGTTCGTGACTCTGCTCTGACAAACAATAATTGATGTTATATTCATTAAACAATAATCAGAAAATTGATAATAAACTATATGCTATTAAACATTGGGTGTGCGGGAGAGTTCCCATCACAAGAACCGTTCGCATGAAGTTTTGATGTCTCACCTAAGTGTTGGCCAGTCATGCTTAAAGAAGGAGAAATCTTTATATTCACTGCTTTGTCTCAAAATGTGTCCGACACATTATTAGACAGATCTGAACGGGCAACTCTAAATTCAAGTAACAGTAACTTTTTTCATGCATACAGTAGTGCAAGAGGACAAGAACATGAAAGGGACAGGACAAGCGCTACTTGCAACTGATACATTATAAAGAAAGATGAGGCGGTAGCGTGGAATGTGATGATTGATAATTATGGAGAATAAAGTGTAATGTTTCAGTAGATATGAAATGATAAAGAATGAGCTAACTTAAAGTATAAAAGTATACAAAATATAAACAATGAAAAATAATCGAAATCAAAAGCATTCGAAAATAAGAAAGGTGTAATTTAGAAAAGTGTAAGGAAAATAAAAAAAAAAAACTCAAATAACTATCATCTCTTTCTCATTTCATGCCACTGATGGCGCAATTATTCGCTTGTCAGAAAAAGCCTTGATAGCTTTTGCCTTGTAAAACTCTGTGATCGTGCGGTTGTAAAAACTATTTAGAACTTTGGTTTCAGAGAACGAAGGGGCGCATTTGGAGTATCTGACGTGTAATGCCCAGTGTTCTGATGGTGAGGACCCGAGTGAAAGTTCATTATCTTGTTATCTGGTGTTGGCGCGGCGGCCGGATTTTCTTGCAGGCAAACGGAATGTCATAAACGACTCCTACTCACTAGTCAACACAGCCATTGGCATGTTGAATTGTGCATTGGCCGTCAGGTCCTTTCAGTAAGTTTATTTGGGGAATCAATTTCTTTAGTAAGTTCGACGCTGATAATGCAACCAGTGCTTCATACGTGGAGGTTGCTCTTTTCAAGTTGTGGGAGACTCTAAGAATATATTGTACAATCGCAAGCCGACGCACCATGTAATTGGTCTTGGGTTGCCAAAGGCATGGTAGCGCTTTTTTGGACGAGGACAAAAGAAAGAAAGACAAGACAGACAAGAGCGCTGTCTCAGCTGTCTCAGCAGCGCTCGTGTCTGTCTTGTCTTTCTTTCTTTTGTCCTCGTCCAAAAAAGCGCTACCATGCCTTTGGCAACCCAAGACCAATACCAACTAGCCCAACACACAGCTTTGATAAGCACCATGTAAATCTTTCATAGTTTACTTTCATTTTGTGTTGCCATGCGTTGAACTGTCTCAAGAACTAGAGAGAGAGAGAATAGTTGTTTATTTACAGTCACGAACAGGTCAACTTGGAACTAACGAGCTGGTATACCAGATTCTAACTTGAGTATCGGATTCTTAAAACGTGTGCATTAAACCTGATCCTTGCTGTGCAACATGTGTGATAGTTTTGGAAGGATAGATGGAGGTCCAAACAATGAAGCTGTTTGTTGATTGGTTATTAGCGTGTAAAATTTAGTTCTTGTGCTTGAGCCACAAAGGTTGTTTCGTAGGTTATTAACTGTCGCCATTCCAAGACGGTATAGACCAACACGCGGCCCTGACGTAACGCAGCTGCGGTGGCGCTGCCGAAAGCACTGCGCATGCGCAGACGCTTCCCTTCATGCGAATTCGGTTTCTGCGCACGCGAAGTGCCCACACCCGGTGTGGGCAAACGCGCGCTTGTTTGTGAACAGCGTGCCGGTCGATAGGTGTGACAGTTTGGCCGTTGCGTAAAAGTCAAATTACGAGAGCATAAACTTTCACTCGGGTTATCAGCATCAGGACACTTGTTTTTACGCACCAGGGACTGGAAATCCGTCTCTTTGCTTTCTGGAACCAAGGTTTTAAATCGTTTCAACCTCATGACCACATCACTTTATGAAGCAAACATTACCAAGATTCAGAATAACATGTGTAGTAGTGCCCTAACAGTTGCACTGAACCAGAAAGTGAAATCCGTACAAAGGTGAACCGTTGCGAACACATAATATTTCGTAGGGGTTCACTACTAAGATTGTAACATGCATTGAATTTAGAGTGACACTGCAGTGCAGTAATATGACCTTCTGAGGATTAAGCCATTTATTGGTCTGTTGTGTATCACATGAGCGGAGTGGAACGTTTATGTAGAAATCAATTGTCCTTCTTGTAAACAGCATATGTGCATAGAAGTGCCCAGTCTAAATAATATTTCTAAGCTTTTGGTCTTTTCTGAGGACAAGGGTAAAAAATTGTGGTTGTCGGCATTGATAGTGTGAAGCAGAAATGTCTAGCTAGAGAAAAAGCTGGCTTTTAATCGAGACCCTGCTCAGGATTAATATCGTCTGCCGTGCGGGCAGCGATGAGTTACATGCATACTCGGGATGCGATCAGAAGTAGGGGTAGGGCAGGAGCCCCACAGCTCTGTAGCAGGCGGAGATCTGTCCGAGGCTAAGGTAGTCGACCATCAAGACCGCCTTTGTTGCTATCAGGCAAGAAATGAACAAAAATACTTAAAAAAAAAGAATCGAAACAGCCTGAAGTTAGGGAAGGAAGGTAGAAAGAAAAAAACAAGAAATATGAGGCGTCTCTTCCCTAAGAGAAGGAACGTAGGAAGCAAGAACAGGAGAGATTAGACGTTTCTTCCCTGAGTTCAGGTTTTTTTCAACTATGTACCAACACGCTTAACTCGTCACCGTTACTAATGAACAAGGTTACGCAGAAGGATGCTAGAAGAAGCGACGCAAAAGAGGATACACATGAAAGGATTGTTATGAATAGTCCAAGTAGCATGTTACAACACACGACGAGGCTGCTGCGTCGCAGTTTGTTTCGGCCATGAGAGCATCCAAACGCCCGACGAGGTCAGTTGCTGATGCGTGCACTATGGTTCAAGTAGTTCTGACCAAAGGCGCAAACCCTTGTCCTGGCCATAATCCACGCTGGTCGTCGCAAACCCAACCTGACAGTAGTGAACGTAGCCCTGAATACTATGATAATATAGAACACAGTATTATGTAGCGTTGCACATAAACGGAGTGGATTTTCAGTAGTATTGGCGGGATTTCTTGTGGCTCTGATGGGTGTTCTCAAATGGGAATCTTCGAAAGAAAGAAACTTGCCTCTTTCCATTTTCGAAATGATGATGCCCATCGTGGCTCTTTCAAGGTCATTATGAAGGACGTTGTGTTATTGCGATGCCTTCGAGAATCAGCAGCATTCTTTGGAAGTTATACGTTTTAGAGCGCAGCTCTTAGGCGTCCCTTTATCGGGTTGAGCTGCGTCGGCGACGGCGTCTGTGTAATCGCGCGTTGCATCATGGGACGTTTCCCATTATAACTTCACACGTGACGCCACGTGTGACGTCAAAGGGGTAACATTCTCCCCCTCAATTTAGCGGGAAACTTTTGGCTAAATTTGTCGGGAAACTTTTGGCTAAATATCTCGGGAAACGTTACCACTTAATATGGCGGAAAAGTATTCCGCTTAATTTGGTGGGGAATTTTTTTTACGCTAAATTTAGCGTGAAAAATTTTCCGCTAAATTTAGCGTGAAAATTTTTTCCCTAAGTTTAGCGGAAAGTTTCTCCACTAAATTTAGCGAGGAAATTGGCGCCACGTGACCTCAACACCAATCAAGTTTCCCCGCTAAATTTAGCGGGAAACTTTTCGCTAAATTTCCCGGCTAAATTTAGTGGGAAAATTTCCCGCTAATTTTAGCAGGGAAATTTTGGCTAAATTTTTCGATAAATTTAGCGGGAAGATTCTTTGCTTTGTTCGAAATATTGCTTTGTTCAAAATATTTAGAACAGATCAGTGGGAAATTAAGCGAAAGTTTCCCACTAAATGAGAGAGCAGCAGAAGAGGAGGAGGGGAGGGTACGGAGACGGAGGAGGGGCTTACCCTCCCCTCCGATCCCATTCCTCCTCCTCAAGAGCTGCGCTTTAATCTGGCATTACAGAGAATTGTAAACGTATTTCAATTTTCTTTTAATGTGAAGTTGTAGGTGGGTGATTTCAGATAAGATCGACCAAAGGGTGGCTGGACGACATTTTTATATCAACTGATGTTTTTATATGACATTGTCTAGTGTCTGGTATAAACGAATCCACACTTAGTTTTGACCAGAAAAAAAATTTGGAGACAAGAAAAATCCTAAGGCAGGGAGAGGTGGACAGTTGCTATAACGCGCACTGATGGAGGGGGCAAGTTTGAAAGTGAATAATTAAAACAATAAAATTAGGAGAATTTTAAAACTTTTTACAAACAAACTATGGGTACATCTTGCTTGTAATATAAAGTAGTAATATTTATTAAAAATTTATTTAGTTTTCTAAAAATTGCCAAACATGCCTGCTCGAACGACAAATGGCAAACTTTGGAAATCTGTATCTCAT